GAGGTTCCTATGCACCCATTGGTAAAACATTATTTTTGTAATAAATATCACTAAAAGCCAATAACTATTAAAGATGGTGATGATAATATATGCAGGTGGTGGTGGGGTTTGTAGTTGGGTTGTGCTGTGGTTTTTGGTGCAGATGACAATAATAATATACTATGAAGTAATGATAATATACAAATTCATTTCTCTTCCTGTACAAAAATTGAAAATGTAAATGTATCTCTAAGCACAAACAATTTTTTTTTTAATGTATTTTTATGATGCAAAAGACAATAAATGGAAATGAAAAAGACCTACATAAAAACCAGGAATTTATACACAAAACAGACAAAGAACCCATTCACTTCTATGTTTATATATTATTAAATGTATATAATACACAAAAGTCTGTAGTTTTAATAATAGTGGACTTGGCGGCAATGTCCTGTGGTTAATATTATACACAACTATTAACCTGAGCACTCACTGTGTACAACTGTCGTCGACTAATGCTATTCTATGAAGAACACAACGCCGCAATGTGCACGCTACAATTAGTTTTTAATGACGAACCATTCAAACTGCCACCGACAATTAGCAGACGGTGTCGCGTCGTCCAGCGCTCGCGGGGAGCAATGAGTGCTCGGATTTAGACTGTACTTTACTTTAAAAAAAAACAATTATCTTTATTATAAAATGAAAATAATATAATCTAAACAATTCAGTTGATTATCTGAAACTTGTTGCACAACAAAATAAAATACAATTTCCACTGAGCTGCATTATGAAATAAAATTTAATTATAAAACAAGTTGCCATTATGTATATTTAGGTTTTAAATTACACACTATTCATTTTAAATGCCCAACATTTTAGTTTTTAAGAAATGTGTATCTTAAATGAGAGATTTGGTCATGGTTGCGTGCTGTTGTTTGCTATATGTATATTGGGAGATGAGATGAACCCACACACAAACCATAAATGGACACATGTAACAAAACAGAGGAAATTGGCCAAGACAAAAAAAACAAAACATTTATTTTCCCAGGAATTGAACCCAGGACCTTATGCATACATGGAAAATGACAAGCTACTAAACCATTAAAGCTTCTTTGGCAATTCCAAGAGCCAGTAGTGATTCAACTGAAAGTCTTGTTCCCTTCGTTGTACATTTCTGACGACTTTGGGAACAGCACCAACTCTAACATGGACATGTAAAGTAATTACTTTATCAGTATCAAAACATTTTTTTGAGGGGTGGGGGGGTTGGGTAGATGTTAGTCGAAGTCCCTGTTCACAAATGTAAAACCAAACTTTGGAATTTTAGGTCTAAATTATACAGTCTCTTGCTCCTTTCCCTCAGGCCATGGCTATGTAAAACTACACACAAAACAGTAATATCAATTACAATACAATAATATCAATAATAATTCAATAATATTAATAATACAATAACAACAATAATTCAATAATATCAAAATAATAATATAATATCAATAATTCTTCAATAATATCAATAATACAATAATATCAACAATTGAATATCAATAATAATATAATAGTATCAACAATAATACAACAATGATATGAATACATTTATAAATATTGCTCACAGCCTACTTTTCATGGCAATTTTTTTTTTGTCAATTATACTTCCGAAAGTTTCTCTATAAACTATAAAAAACTACTATGTAATTGTGTACTACATTCTGCTTTTATAATTAATGAGAGCTATGCAGTCCTAGGTAACCAAGCTACAGAAATCTTGAAATTATTGTTAAATTATCATCTTAGGCAGTGGCAGATCCAGGAATTTGAAATAGAGGGCTACGGGTAGGGGACACAGATCCGCTACTGTTGGTATATTAGGTGAGACTTTATTTATTCCTTGTTTAGTGCACTTATTTTTTTTTAAAGATCATTGGAGGAGAGCGGAATAAGAATAAAATTTATAGTTTTGCCAATAACATCCAGACGGAGGAGAAAATAAAAATAAAATTTCATTGGTGAATGTAAAATGGCATGGTTAAATGTTCCCAATTTTACAATTAGGAAGAAATACATATCTTATTTAGCAATAGTTTTGCCAATAACATCCAGAGGAGAAAACAAAAATAAAATTTTATTGGTGAATGTAAAATGGGATGTTTAAATGTTCCAAATTTATACAATTAGGAAGAAATACATATCTTATCTTTGATGCTTCCAAGGCAGCGGTGGGCGTAAAATTAAAAAAAAAAAACTTTTAATTTTTTCTGAAATTTCCATTTTTCTTGGCAGCGGGTGCGCTAATTGGCCAAAATAAAATTTTATTTTTATTCGAAATCATCAATATTTGCAGTCGGCAGGTTCCCTCAGCAAGGTGTAAAAATGTCTCGCCTTAAGGTCATATTAATTCGATAAAATAGCATTTTTAGAGTTACTGATATTAATACCTGTTGCTTTTAGAAATACAGTATGTTTTAAGTATTTGAATGGATGTACCAACTACAAGTACTAAGATTATTTCTAAATGACTGCTTTTGAAGATGAGCTAAAATAACGAAAACTATTACATAGATTAATTAAACAGGAACAATAATGAAGATACCAAACATTGTCTGGTTTAACTTTTTTTTCAATACCGTATCAAATTTCAGTGATATTCTATGATGTTTTTCTATAGATTATGACATCATCAAAAGTATCGTTTCAATTGTTAAAAAGGCATTTACACAACACAAACCTCCGAAAATCTTAAGTCTTGTTGCCTGCAAGTGCTCCAGAATTCAGGCACTATAGGGCCCAAGTGACTAGGCCTACAATGGTAAAAATTATTTAAAAAAAAACAAGAACAAAAACCAACTCAACTGTCATCCATTTTTGACGACTACTCTAAAACCTTTGAAAACCTAAATACCTTAAATCTAGTAGATCCGCATGGGCTCTACCACTCAACCTCACTTGGTCAGTAGGCAGTCCCCAGATCCCACTATTGAGGCAGCTGATCAGCCCCGGGCAGACATGCCAACCCTACAAGGCCAACAAAAGGAGTCTGAATACTGATTATTTAAAATTGCCATTGGAAAAAAAAAATCCAAAGACATGGTACCAATGTGATCGGATTGTAAAATGTAACGCTTTACATCAGCAATACCGCCGTGCGAGACTAAAAAGAAAATCAATACCGCACGAACACAACGAGCGTAGGCATCATCTAGTTTTGATTTCAAAATGACAGGATACTTTTCATTTAACTTGCATGGCATGTTTGTGTGTGTTTTAGCTTTTTTTTTTGGAGGAAGCTCAACACTACGACTCGTTTTTCAAGCACAGAGAAGGCCTACATCCATATCGCTCTCATCGGACCCCATTTTGGAACTTGTGGTTTAATTACTAGACTGTTGTTGTTACAAAATCAGTACACAGTTCAGAGCGTTGTTCCCAATGAAATTAACTGGTCTTGTTCTTATCTAAATCATAAGATTTTATTATTCGGAAATGAGCAATTTATTTCAGCCGAAATGAGTAAAAAGCGGAGATTTTTTACCCAAAATCAGAGTGTGGAGTTTAATTAAACAGAGCTTAAATAAACAGAGTAACTCTGTCAATATCGGAGTGGTTGGCATGTCTGCCCGGGATGCAAGGGCCTCTCTTTGCTTGTTGCATCAATACTTGTACAAATATGCAGGGTTTGCAGGGGCGGATCCAGAAATGTCCAAAAGGGGGGGCCGGAAGGGGGGCCGAAAGTTGGGCCGATTGAGACAACACTGTCGTAGGGGGTCCGGGGCATGCCCCCGCGAAATTTTTGTGTTCTAGACGCCCAAACATAACATTTGAGGCATTCTGGGCTATCATTTTTTTCTTTTTCTCTCTTTTTTTCTTTTTTCTTTTCTTTTTTTTACCTCCCAAAAGGGGGGGCCGGGGCCGGGCCGGCCCCCCCCTAAATCCGCCCCTGGTTTGTGCTTATCTGTTGACACTAGGAATATGAGGTGAGTGAGCAGATAACATTCTACAACTGATCAGATACTATATTTTTAGGGTAAAAAAACAGAGTTGCATCTTTGTTATCCTAAAATGACACAAAGAAAGCCATCATTAATCAAAGAAATCAGCTGGATATCAGTTCAATGTTTTTTTTTTGTAAATAGCTATATAAAGCTTACTTTATAATGGGTATGAAAAAGAAAAAGTAGTTTTGTGGCTCTTATAGATTAATATCTACAAATTATGCCTTTGACTTTTAAATCAAAAAGCCTCGTTTCTAAAGCCTGGTTTCCATAAAATCGCTACAGTGTCACTACAGCGTTTTCAGTGTAATACTGTGTAGCAGTCCCCAATGCAATTGGAAAGGCCCTCGGATTCGATCAACCAATCAGCACCACCAAAAACTGTCGGCGAGGGCGTGTAGCGATTGTAAGGAAACCAAATGCCTTTAATGAAGTATAAGCAAGAATGATAAGACCTAATAGTAAAATACTGTGTGGGACTTCCAAACCTTCGGATTACGCAAAGTTATCATCTTAAAGTATACATACTCCTTTTTCACGGTATTCTCAATTAGTGGCCCACCCAACATACATAAAAAATAGGCAATAAATACTGTAACCAAAGAGTATGGAAATGCAAGAGGTCCGACTGCCCTCATTTTGTATGCATGCAATGGAACGTAAAAAAAAAAGTACTGTCACAAAATAGGGGGTGCCCTATTAAAATTTGAATAGAGTTTTCGCTCGAAACGCGTCGTTTAACACGTTGACTGCCAGACCTTTTTTTACGGTTCCTTCCCGTGTGCCAAAACAAGTTTACATGTACAAACATACTATTTTGAAATTTTATCTAGTCATATATCATCAAAATGATGTGTCTAATAAATTGGCGGGAAAATATTAGGGGGCGAGTATACTCGTCGATGGCACTGTGATAGAACTTTTGCTGACTATGCCAAGTGCGAGTTATCTCGTCCTCTTTTTGCATGGGTTGGTATATGTTCAAAGGGCGCCCCCACTTGTACTGCTCGAGTGTACTACCGGCAACATAACACAACAAACATACATATGTCATTTGTACGTTATCGTCTAGGTGTATCTTCCCCTAACTACCAGCCGTTGAGTCTGTGGTCCTACATTGTATAATAAAGAAGTTATAAACGCTAGAATGTTCCCCCATTTTTGATGAGTATACTCATTCCTGACGCCCTCAGCAACACCCTGTGGGCAAGTATACTCGTCGCTGGCAGCCAACGTGTTAAGGACATGTCTTTTTTTCGAGGCAGTACTTTTTGAAATAGGATTACATTGTAATGAAAATCACGGGAGTTGGACCTCTTGCAGTTTTATACTCACTCCTGTACTCAAACATTTACAGTGAACTGATACACGCTGTACTGATGCTGGTATAAACACAAAGGCAAGTTTATACCAGAGTCAGTACATGCTGAACTGATGTTGCTATAAACTTGCCTTTGAGTATCGCTCACCCCCTAAGTCTAGAAACTTGGAACAGAAATCCTGTGTGCCTCAGATAATAATTCTAAAGTATACTATACTAAATATTTAATAAATTGCATTGAAATTTAATAATAAATTATTATATTTTTAGCTTAAAATAAACTTTAACAAATCAAGACTATGCTCTAAAATTATATGGCTCACTTCATCCATATTTTGGCTTGACTTAAGTTGTAAACCATGCTTAAATCAAATAAGATATAGTGTACCATATTTCTATACTGTTTGTACTAATATTTAACTGCAGGTTTTTCTCGGGGGTGGTTGGGGGTGCAGACGGTGCGATGTTCTCGCCTCAACCAGAACCATGGTGGGGCTGAGGAAGTGGGAACGCTCACGCACCCCCTACCGCCATATCCAGCAACCGCCCCAGAACATACACTTAAGACTTTGTGAGACTTGGCCTTTCTTATCTGCTCTGGTCTGGGCAAAAGCTGCCTTCACATCGAATCCGAACTGAAATATAGACCATGTTTCCGATGCCTATTCTTAGAGGCTTAACCCGGCACGCTATCTATTTTTAGCGCAGCCAGACTACTACTTAATAATTTGCCTTTTGGTCCCAGGATCAAAGCCCACCCAGGCCCCTGACCCAAGTTTGTTTTCAAGAGAAGTGTGGTTATACCAACGTCAGTACAGTACTGTACTCAAAATAAATTCTATTTTAAACTGTACATGCAAACACCAGACCTCACAGTTATAACAATATGCATATAATATACAGCAAAGGCTAGGCCTTCTATTGTGTGGCTACATCAATATTGTTTCTCTTTTACCTCAACACACCTAATTTACAGCAAATAACATTTGCCACTTACAGGCGGGGATAAATACATTTTAAATCTGTATAAATGTAAAAGATTTTGGAAATATTAATTTTACTTCCATAGGTGTCTTCAGCTGAGAATATAATTAACGATCATGACCACAGCAATCTGAAAAATATATATATAAAAAAAAGTGGTAAATATTGCTTGTTGATTAATTGCTAATCTTCATTGTAAGTCAGTGGTGATGTCATCACTTTCATTTGGACTGAATTTCCTATCCCTGACTGACCATAAATTTGATAAAGTGCCTCTGCTTTTTTGCTTCTCCTGTGCCAGAAAGTTCAAAGTTGATTTTACATAAATATGTCGTTGCTAGGCCAAACTACGAACGCACGCAAGCAAACCTAACAAATTGCGCCCCAAAGCACCAGTTAACAGGCATGAAGCCAGCTCTTGTTAACATGAAAAAAGCCTAGAATTAAAAAAAAAAGATTGCCTTCAGCCCTGCAGGCTTCAGGTCAATATTTTTATAAGAAATATTTCCTGTAGTGTACTCAAAACCTGACTTTAATTGCATATAGCCAATAGCCAAACGTCATTTTTGAAAGACTGTGCCCAAATCCAATTGACACATTCAACGAGGTTTGTTTAAGCCGATCATGTGACATAGTATTACTATGGAGAACTTACAGTGCAATCAGTGTTAAAGTATAGGAAAGTTAATGTTATGGTTTCGAAAACATTCGCCCACCATTAATGTGAGAAATACCTGGCAAGGAACGGCACTACGATTGTTCAAAATAGTGTTTATTTACTTATTATAGCGTTCAATGTGCTTTCTATGCTTTTAGATTTATGTGATCCTTCGTAAACCTAAGCTAGCCTAGAAACCATAGCGGGTCAAAATAGCAGTTTTTCGGATCAAAGACTTTCTCTGCATACCTAAAAAAGCTGTCGACATGCAGGGCCTCGGCCTAGGATTTCTAAAAAAAATCTCAATGTTTGGGCCAGCACCTTTTCGAACATTAGCAAACCATTATGGCAAAACTCCCAATTTCAATTTACAGTACAATCAATTTGGTATAGTTACTGGCATTTCAAGCAACATTATTCACACAAACTTTCCAAAGAAGCTACGCTTGCGTTGAACTTTTTTAATCGATACCCGATACCCACTATATGACGCATGACAAACCTTGCGGAATGTGTCTATTAGGTAATGATGCTCTCTAAATTGGTGCCGCCAATGCTGGGAACCTCCATGTACAGTATGGTGGTGAAAAGCAAACACAAGGAGACAAAAATTACGATATAAATTTAAAAAGCAACTTTACCTGTTTACCACACCATGAATTCAATATCTTCATTCCGGTAGAAAATCATAAAGAACGCTAAAATAGTCAAAAAACACCACGTATTGCCAAATAACACCATGCCCATGGCCCCCCACTTGATCTAAAAAGAAAGAAATGTATTTGTTGAAAAAACAAAAAGTTGCAAATACATACGAAATATAATTTATATAGCGCTATTGCATGAAGATCAGAGTGTGGACTACAGTAGCTCATACAATAACCTTCTTCTCCTCCAAGTGTCTCTTTGTGTCTGAGCAGGCCGGTAAAACTGGTACTAGCTACTCTTGTCTGTCCACAACAGGGGCTGAATGGACCAGTACCTACCTCAGGGTAACCCCCTACTCTTTCTTAAAAGATGTACAGGGTTCTTTATAGTGCACATGAGCCAATTGTACACTGGGCCTATGGTTTATTCATTCATTCATTCTCTTTATTTCGAAAACTAGTTCATAGAGTACAATACTAAAAATATATAAAGTAAATATATAGACATAAATATACTGAAAAAACATAGTCCTTATCGGAGAAGACTTGTTCCACCTCCAGAACCGTACGCGAGCGTGCAGTTATGGCTGTGTTGCAGCGCGCCTGCCTTAAACGCTCACCCATTCGACTAGAGAGTAATTGGTTAACTGACCCTATTTCTGTTTCTTTTAACCAAATGATAAAGGGTCTTATAAGATGAACTCAATGGTAATGTTATCATTTTCATATGCCAAACCATGCAATACTTTTCTAGTAACTATTTGTTTGATATTTTTCCATCTAATGTACTGAACAATAAAAAGGAAGTGTGACTGCATTGGTCCATGGACTTATAAAGCACTCAGTAGAGACCAATCCAAGAAAAATGGCGCCCTCTGTTGTCGAAGCCATTACTGGGGAGTCCCTACACCTAGACCTACTCCTACAATGTCAATGCAGTGTGGTTATAGACACAGTACCATTGAGAAATCCGGCTTTTTATTTTGCAGTTTGAATAATGCTGTCAGTCTTCAAACTAAAAATTTATCAAAGTTATGTATATTTCGTATATTTATACATCTTCCGACTTCGGAAATACCACCCCAGTAATGGCATCGACAAAAGAGGGCGACGTTTAAAAAAGTTCTCTTGGATTCGTCTATAGTCATATTTCCAGGTACTAAAAGGAAATTATTATACAATATAGTTAAATTAAGGTATGCACAAACTGTCTTCACATTGTGCAGGCTTTATGCAATTGTGTATGCATTAATCTATCCTATTGTATAATAATTTCCATATAGTGTACAATAATACATGGACAGAATAATAATGTATATTCAATGATTTGATAATATATTTCATTATTCTCCTAGTTATTGCATAGTTCCTCTCTCCTTTCTCATGATGCCTAATATGCAGTTAGTTTTAAAACTTTTTTTTTGACTAAATAATTAATGCACCATTCTTATGTGCAAACAATAGAATCTATTTTTTTTTGAGGATTGTAATAAGCTTGCTACATCTATATTAAGTTTCATGTTTTACATTATTATATTTTGTATTATTATATTATTTTGACAACTATTAAATACAATATTTATGTACACGCAATTCAATGTTTCTGCTTAGTATTGTATATGTTGGACCATGAAATTGATTTATTGATTTTTGAAATCTGTCTCACAGAAAAGCTTTTCCATCGAACTTAAAAGAACATCTTTTTTCTCGTTATTTAACCTGAAACAACTTTTTTGTCAATTAAATCAATTGAATAAATATAGCTTAGAAGATATCAGCTTCTGTACTTTTTATCCTTACTTTTTTTTGTACCCATTTGTTTCTGTCTCTTTGTTAACTGTTGTTGATTTTACTCTTTCTGTTTCATGTATTTCTTCTTTCTTTTCAGGCAAGCCTTCTCAAAGCTTTGTTGCTTTTCCGGTCATGCCCTCTTCAATGTTTTTTTGAATTATTATTAAATATGAATCAATTGTTAACACTACTATTTTGGAGAAAATAAATGTTATTTGAATGAATTTAATTTGTCCATGGTTAGACTAGAAAAATCTGAATCTGAAATCTTGATGTACTCACTACACCACTGTGCGCCAAAACGAAGGGTAGTCCATAAGCCGAAACCACGATCCCTGTTGTAAGAAACAGGCAAATCTCATGTAGCGCGCTGCTGGCACCGCTACTCCCATAATCAGACTCTTTCAGCCGGCTTGCTATCCACATTGGCATGGGACTTATAACATAAAACACCAACACAAACATCGGCCACCATCTGAAATATAATTGGAAAATTCAACATAAACAATATGCATTTTATTGTATTTTTAAGGACCATTGCTATTAGTCACTCTAAAGCAATTGCACGGGTCCAAGTCCCCCGGAACTCACAGAAGTCCCCCGGTACTCACAGAAGTCCCCCGGAAATCGGGATGGTCTCCCGTATTCCTGCAAGCAGGCAAGAATCCCTGGGAAATCAACCCATCTCCACAAAAATATCATTTTGCTTGTTTTCACTGAGCTAATTATTAATTCTCTCACTTAAGACTCAACGGGGTAGGGGCAGCCAGCCCAGGTCCCCTAAATACTTTAAAATTATTTTTTTTAAATCGGGTAGAAAAGAAAATTATATTCAAATTTAAGTCTGATAGGGCCATATCCAGCCAACTGGAAACTGGATGGGTTGCAAAGAAGTTGGATAGCAAAAGGCCTGGTGGTCAAAGGGTGGCAAGAAGATGAGCGGCAAAACGCCATGTCGCAATGAGCCAGGTGGTAGACAAACATTCATTGGTTTGTAATTTGTTGTAGGAATAACTCAATATGGGTATACAAATAACGTAGATATAAGCAGTTTTCACGGTTACAAAAATATTTAATATTAAATTTTTTATATTTTAAAAATATTTACATTAACATACAATTTCATAATAAATCTACATATTATGACTGGATGGCAAACTCTCGCTTGAGAATGTTCTTGATGTAACATTAGAACAATTACATTAATGCTTACGTTCCAAATGCTTGTAGGGCACATGCTAACACCACAAGAAGCAAGCCTATCGACGCCGAGAATGATAGCAGGATCAAACTATATAAGAATATTCATTATAATGGTTATTTCATAATAATTAACAATTATACTAAAAAAAAACATGCATATAATTTATTTTTTCATTACCATTTATAAGTGTATACACACTAAAAGAAACCAAGGATGATTACGATTATATAAAATGCTATTAATTACGTTGAATAGTGCCACACCTAATGATGCTGAGAAAAAGAAAATTTTTCTGGTTTTTACACAAATTTATACCCAAGTCCCCTGTTAAATCAAACAAAATACAATTATTTATATAGTTTTTTTCTTTAAACATAATAAGTCTATAATTTTTTTCTTTTTAATTTTATAACTTTATGTGTTTCTAAAGGTTAATAGAAACTCTTTCACAAAAAAAGACAAACAACTTACCCTGAGTAGTATCAGCAGTAAATAAGTTGAAGAAAATTCAGCATTTGAAATGAAAAGTGAAAAAAAAAAAAAAAAATTACGCAATTGACACACTGTATAATGTATACATGATACAAGTGATGTGGGGAGAACGTCTTGGCAAGGCTTTAATGCTTGGAAAATTTTAAGGGACCAGAGAAAGGGGATGTCAGCGTACACGATTGATGTAGGAAATCACCACAAGTACAGGAAGGAGACTTGCCGAACTAAAGTACCGGACATGGTCGAGATTTTTGCGGAGGAAAATCATGCTTGATGTCACCAGGGGTCGACTACGACCTGATGGACGCAGATGATGATACTGTATATGCCGTACCAGAATATTCCGATGGCACCACACAACTGTGATAATGTAGTTGGTTTATCATCAGTGGGGGCTTTGCTCGAAAAAAAGGGGTTTGACCAACCCATATACAGTAGTAGTAGTAGCTTCCCTGGTTACAGACTTTTACACATGTTCTTATCAACAGAAAGGCTATCAAATAAATCAAGCCTTCATGTGACTGAAATAGCATATTAAAATAAACCGTGGCTATTGCTACAACAGTTTTTCAAATTAAATATTTTCTTTATTCTGATTGGACTTTACTGTCCTAATCCTATACATACCTACCATAACATCCAATCAGAATTAAGAATTCGTTTCAGACTGTTGTAACAATAGCCACTGCCTTAAAAAAAGGTAGATTCTATGACCAGAATAGTAAAACTGAACCTTCTTATGTTATATCTTGTAAGGTGACTTTTTTTATACCTTGTTTCACAAACTTATTTTTTTTAAAGATCGTCAGAAGAGTGGAATAAAAACCAAAATAAAATTTTGTTTTCATTTTTAGCATATAGTTTTGCCAAAAACATCCAGACGGAGAAAATAAAAATAAAATTCTTTTGAAAACTAGTTAAACATTAAAATTGATAAAATAGACAAAAAATAAATAATTGTTTTTTGTATATTTAAAAAAAAAATGTTTATAATCTTACAAGCATTGTTAATTAACATCAGTAGTTAAATAATTAGCATTAAAAAATATAAGAAATGTGTCATGACTTTTCATGTAACTACCTTAAAAGGATTAAATATTGTACAGCTGTATCTGTATACTTTATTTAGTAGAGAGAAGCTGTAATACTTTTCTATACTCATTAACCTTAACAATACTAATTGTATAATAAATGACCCATCAAAAGTTTATTAATATTGTATTATAAGTCAATCGTGACGTCATCACTGTAACTCTCAATTTTATTTTTTTAAGGTTCGTATGCAAAAAAAAAATTTCTCATTTTTTGTCACCACCGCGAATACATCGCGCACCGCGATAAAAATTGAATTGTAATTGAAATTTACTCTCGTAAAACAAGCTTATTTATAACCCGAAGAAAGTTATTTCAAATTCAATATTAATTATGAACAATTAAGGAATTCATTGAATCAATAGACCCTCATAAACACAACAAACTGAACGTTTAATAGAAATATTCTAGACCTATTTTAAAGACTCAAGGAACAAATTTAGATGTAGGCCTACGACCAGGCAGGCTGCCTGGGCCTCCTCCTACTATTACTAGGCATAGGCCGTAGCCTGGCCTAGTTATGAAATCATCGCATGATTTTACCTGTCTGCATGCATCGACCAAAAAGGACGTCAGTGACTGTATTCTCTCTCGAATGCTGAAATGTTTATTTCTTTGACGAAAGTCTATCAATATAGCATTACAAACAAGTTCTTTCTAACACAATATTTAATTTATTCATCGTATCCGTACTGCTGATGTTAGATGAGTTAAACACGTACTGCAGGAGCAAAAATCAGCATAGGCACAGCTAAATGTATACGCACACTGATCATATCACTACAGCAACCGATTGCTGCTACAACAGACAGCGATTGACTTTTAAAGCAATTAGTAGAGCATGCATTGTACACTAAACAGAAAGTTATTATACTTAGGTTAGATTTAAAGCATTAAATCTAACCTTCGTACAATAATTTTCCTATAGTGTACTATATGCAGAGCTCTACTAATTGCTTAATAATGTGGAGAATATTTTTTATTTATTTTTTTAATGCTTTTACTGATGCTAGGCCTAGTTTTTTTGGCATGGCAAGCTTCACGATATTTTATTACAATTATTTGCAATAATAATACTCTATGTACTGTAATGCCAATTGTCCTAGGCCTATTTGCAGTAATATAATAGGACTCTATGCAGGACCAAGGCCACCAGGATAGCCGCCAGATGAGTTAGGTGTGTTCATGGAGGTATAAAGGCTAGGAAAGACGAATGGCTTGATATTATAAACAAAACAAACACCACCATCATCCCATTGATTCGCCATGCACTGAAAAGAGATGCCATTTGGCATTAGTTCCTCAACAACAAATATGCCTGCAGAAAAACTATGAGTGATGTTTAGCTAAATAGAGTTTAACCTGCAGAATAATGTCATAATCATCAAACATTAATATCAAACATAATGATTTATAAAACTACTCACTTCGTAATCCAGCCATCTTTTTTAGAGTAAAATTAAGTTTACGATAATATGACTGAACTATGACCTCAGTTTGTGAGCACGCGTACATCATACAGCTAGTTAGATAATGTTCTATTTTAGCTACCTGACTGTGCAAAATCATAAAATGACAAGAAACGAAATTCAATATTTGATTTGATTACGTAAAATTGTCTTTAAATCAGAGCTAGTATATTACATTCATATAAATATATAATTATATACACAGTAGAAAGTATTTAAAATATTTATTATTTATTGATCATTCAAAATTGGCAATTGACACCAAATATAGGATACCATTCAATCATTGTATGATATAGTGATGTACCAATACACAATGTAGGCCCCTCAGTAGCAGTAGAGTATAGTTATGATTTGAAGGTAATAAAATAAAATGAATAAATTTATTAGAATCATTTAGTCAAGGCAATTTTGTACTAATAATTTTATTAATTGTAGGCCCTATATGTATGAAATGCTGGAAAAGATTATTATGCTGGCTATATCCACATCAGGGTTTTTTTTGGCCTAATCTTATTTGCCGTACATTTAATAACCTACTTAACGTGAGCAAACTCTTTAGAACCTGTCTCTTATACACATCTAGATGTGTATAAGAGACAGGGTAAGTTCATTGTTCGGATAAAAGACGTGATATATTGTGTAGCATCGCAACAAATGTTCTATAAATAAATAAATACATTGTGGATATAATGCCTCTGACAAGATTCGAACCTGTGAACTCTCGCTGTCGTAACCATTGCACCACAAAAGTTTCTTGGTTGAACAGATTCAAATAATTGTCAGATACATTTTATTACACAATAAGTACAGCTGGAAAGAAATGGTAGCATATAATATATATCAAGACAGCAATTAACACTGTTAAATTATATATACTTATACTGTAAATCATCAAAAAAGGTAAATACAGTAAAGGATGTGATACATCGTGTAGTCATAGCTCACAATGACTGATGTCCTATAGATAGATACAGGTGTAATAAAATGCCTCTGAAGGGATTCGAACCTGCCACCTCTCGCTGTCAAAGGAACATCATAACCATTAGGCCACAGAGGCTTCATGGTTATTAAACAGATTCAAATAGCCGTCAGATACACTTTACAGTATTATACAATAAGGTACTAAACAAATATGTATGTATATATATGAATCAAAATTTATTTATATTTATATATATATATGTATATATTTATATATATATGTGTGTATATATATTTATATATATTTATATATATATATACTGTATTTATATACGGTATATATATATATATATATATTTATTTATATATATGCATATATATATATAAATATATGTCTATATATATATATGTGTGTGTATGTATGTATACCATAAAGTTATAAGAATATTATAGTTATTGTTATATGATTACGCATGATGATTATAATAGGGCAAACTGGCGACGCACTGTTAATTAAGGCTCATGGCTTGAATAAGCCATCGGCCCGAGAGAGAGGATCTGGGCATTCAGACTGTTTTCTCGGCAAATAATGTTCTCGGCACACGTCAATTTTGTAGTTTGAACGTGCGCTAATGGAGCACAATATGGTCTAGCAAAAACCTAGTTGAACCACGTTCTCGAAAGACGGCGACTCTGGAATGAAGTCTGAGTGTGCCGCGGCATAAAATGTTATCATCCTGGGCGGGCCAGTGGCGTGACCAGACCTGCTTTGACATTCTGTTGCGCAATGTTGTGAATAGTAGGCCTACGGCGGTACCCACTGTTCTCTTGAATAATGTATACTGTAGGCTTAATTTTTTTGGAATAAAACAAAATGCCGGAAACATGTTCTGAGAGAGGAAGCATCTGAGTGCTGTCGAAATGAATTGCGTAGTTGAAGTTTGGGGAAGAACTTGAAGGCTCGAGATAGAAGCACAAGTGACAAAATACCTGCAAAGGATCTGGGAATGAACAACTGTTCCAAATAAAGTATCTCACGATCTTCCAGATGGATTTTAACGAGACCCTGGGATCGTATAAGACTGAGACAATAAAATGAAGAGAGAGTACCAAGGAAAGATCAGAAAAACAAGTCCGGCAAAATATGATGATTCGAACTCCGTCGTGGATTTTCAGCTATGGATGACATCTTATTCTTGGGGACCAAACCTGCTACTGAGCCAGTTTTCGACAGCGGGGCCGGGGGTGCACGAGAGTTTGGTTTAAATTATTGAAAAAATGTTAAACATATAAATGTCAAAAACATGGTTTTATAATCTGAACGATCGTGTTTCGAAAACATTCGATCAGTGTGGTATGTGAACATATGCCAAGAATTATAATGTTAGGAAAACATTTTATGCCGAGTACATAACTGAACGCCCAGAGAGTTTTATGATTTGTATGAATTATTGTATATTTACATCATCACCATAAATAATTACTGTATGTGCTTGACTATTTCTATGTTTACATCAATTAAAAAATTATCATCATAATTTTCCCAATCATTGGTTTTATAGGCACTGTATAAAATTAAAAAGATCCAGGAACAGGGTCTTTCCAGACTGTGTCATAGCTGTATGTTAACCATTAACAGTTTTGTGCTGTCATTCAGTTGGCTGATGACTGGACCTCAACGACAGCGTCATCGGATCTGGAGCAACTAGAAACTAACGAACAACCAACAACATCACCACAGGCGATTCTATCTCTGAGTGCACGCAACGCAAACGTAGATCATTGAAATACGATTATTGACAAAGAATAGGCTAGAAACATTTTTTATATAGAAAAGGCTTTTCATAAAGATGGCATCAAAGAAAGAGTAAGTAACTAGCCAACGTCGATTTCTGTCCAAGCTGTATTAATTATTGACTGTGAAACTTTTTTTTTTTTTCACTAAAACTGAATTCAGTATGGGTTGCAGTGCCAGTACCATGGACTTCCGGACCAAAATTCCCAAAGTCATGGTTGCTGTAGTTGTAGGCTGTACGTTATAAATGAATAGACAATAAAAATGAACAGAATTATTTTTTCAGAGTTGCTGTAATTGTAGGCTTTACTTTATAGATGAACAGACAGTAAAAATGAACAGAATTATTTTTCAGAGAAATGAGTTCAATTTGTTATTTGTTTGTATAGAAATACTATTTTGATGTATGAATCAATTAGGCTTTTTTTAGGATATCACTTGTGAAAAATAACAACACATTCACTCAGTTTCTGACTGACGCCTATGACGGCGTCGTGTATTTTCCCATCACCCTAAATTTGTTTTTACTTTTTATGCCTAAGTTTAATCAATGAATTACCTAGGCTAGGCCTAATGATAATACATAGGCCTAGATGGCTAGGTCTCTAGTTCTATGAATGTTTATGATGAGTGCAATAGGGTAGAATATTTCACGAGGTGAAGGATTGTTCTATTCAACGAGGTGTAGGCAAGTTGAATAGCCAATCTTTCACCAATTTGAATATTCTACCCTATTGTACGAATGAGAAACATTCATACGCCTTTTTCACGCTGCGGTGGACATGTTTGATCGATGACAAACAATGCTGACTAGCAAAGCGAACCAACAAAAATAACAGCATTTTCGATTGTTTTGAAAACGAGGCGAAATATTGTTCTATTCAACGAGGTACAGCCAATTTTTCACCAATTGAAATATTCTACCCTATTGTACGAATGAGAAACATTCATACGCCTTTTTCACGCTGTGGTGGACATGTTTGATCGATGACAAACAATGCTGACCAGCGAAGTGAACCAACAAAAATAACAGCATTTTTTAGTGTTTTGTAAAAAATAAAAAATTTAAAAAAAATTGGGTCGGTGGAATTTTTGATGGTAGGGAGGGGATGCTAACCAATTATTTTATTTTACATGGCCTAATTAAGACGTTCAATTTTTAACTTATATGATTTTTTTTTTTCATGGATGGAAAGTGACTATAGCATATTATAAGTTATAATTTATTCATCAACAATTTGGCCTATATGTAATAGTTGTTGTATAATCGTATTAGATATGTTAAAATTGTATTATGAGTTTTATAATTAAAATTTAAAATATTAATAACAGGAATTTAATAACATGTTATGTCACTGTTGTAAGTATTACGAAGGAAGAAGTTAGTTCCTTACCTGATTTCTGTTAGCATCTTAGTTTATTGTTGTACCAAGCAAAGGACACAATGCCAAGCGTTTTCAATATCACCAACTTCTAATCCTACACACTTACTGAAATATAATGATGCCAGATGCTACATTTTTCGCATTTAATAGAATTATAGCGATATTGTTCCGTCTCTTCTATTTCGAATTCTTCAAGTAAAACTTTGTCACAAATACCACTGTAACTTAAATGTGTAATAAGACCGGACACATTGTTTGAAAAATATTTTGATATTTTCTGTAACTTCCCTAAAATTATCTCTATAAAATGTAATTACTTCTATGAATAAATCTTTAGTTGTCCATACAATATTAAATAACTGGTTTTTGCCCCACTATACCCATCTGGCTCTGCATTTGCGTGTAGTATTTGTGATTTTTCTTCAAATGCATGTTTCCATCACTAAAATTTTAAAAATCGCAATTGTCACTAGATATTAATTCAGATTGAATTGAATATGGGCATTTTACTTCTATCGTTGCAAGACCATGGCAATCACACTTCAAGATACTGTCTGGTGATGTGCCAATGTAGTGTTTATGTTGCTCAATAAATATGCCACATTTCTCAATTTTATACCCATTGTGCTTTTGGCTTCGTGGGCAATAAAGGATTTGATTTCACCCTGTTCATTTTTTCTCCCCCATGCAAAAGTGGGAAGGTGGCTTAAATCAGGCACACCATTCAGAATTTTTTCAATCAAAATTGTTGTTTTTGTTTTGATAATTGAAATAAATTTCTTTATACCACTGTTTACTTTATTGAAAACATCTCGGTGGTTGGATGCCGTCACACGTCCTTTTCTAGCAGATATCCATTTTTCATTATCTTCCTGTTCCTTAGTTTTGTCTTGTAACTTGAATGCCTCCTTCCTTCATATCGGCATTTCCTCCATAAATGTTCATATTTTCTCATCATTGCTAATTGATAGGCATGCGATTTTTTCAGCAAGTTCTATTAAACTTGTGCTTTTTGGCTGGTCTAGAATGAGATTTACACTAGTAAAAACCGCTGCTTCTGGTACAACATCATATAATACCCTACACCATTTGCTAACTTTTGATGTACGGATTCCCTGACTAGCTAACCGAGGATCAAAATCACTCATAGCTTTATATCGTTTTTCTTCTGTATTCTCTTCATTATGTTTATTTCTCAAACGCTTTCGGATCTTTATGTCATCGACTTCCGCTGGAGCAACATCCTTCTTTGTAGATTTATTCCATCCACATGGAATTGAAGTGCATGATGGATCAATAAATCCATGAATATTGGCATAGTCAACTTTGTAGAGTACTGCAATTACATGATTGCAGCATCTACTGCTTCCCTGCTATACATGAGCACTAACAGATATTAATCTTCACTGGATCTTTATCTACAACAATCCATGTGCTATTGATGTCTTTCTTCATTGACGACTTAACATCACAGTAAAGAAATATGCGGTGGTGCTTCATGAGTAATCTCACATGTCCAATCTCCCAATAAGAATAAGCTTTCTGATTCTTCCTCGCCAAAGTCCCTTACCTTCAGAATATATGAAAAAAATATTCTCTGTGTTGAATTTTGGCCAAGTTGTAACGTTTTTGACGCGTTCTTTATCAGGAACGGACAGTGGGTTTTTTTATGTCAGTACTTCTTAATTGAGATGAGTATTCCAATTTTAGTTTCCTTGCTCTTCACTAGATTGAATAATTGACAAATTCATGTCAGCGGCACAAAATGCTCTTGCTACAAGTTCTCTCTTTGATCCTGCAGTCTTGAGTCCATGGATTGCTAAATAATCTTTGAGTGTACCCACTCCAAGGCTCAAAAAATCATCATGGCTAGACAAAGCCATGGCAATCAATTAGCTTAAATAAATTTTTTAACAAACAATGATTATAACTTTACTTGTGAAATACTTTGGGTTGACTTGAACGAAAACTTTGTAGTAGCTAAAGAGTGCTGCTTTTTCTTCAGCCAATCAAATGCCAAGAATAACACCGAAAGGGCCATAATAAAAAAACACGATGTTAACTTTTGTGTAAATGCGCCGTAAGTCTACTAAAAGCGGCGTTGCGAAAATGCAAAATTACACCTATACATGTTTCTCCTGAGGCAAATTCAGTTATTGTCTATTATTCCATCACGACAATAACAATTACTATCAACACTGCAGCACCCGCTGCTTACTTGGACTCTGCTTCAATTGCTACTTATTAATGACTTTCATAGCACGTGCTGCACTTTGTAATTTTAAGAAACCGTTGGCAGAGTGAAATAAAAAAAATGAATACGAAACAATACAGGTATAGCCATAGGGCCTATTTATTTTCAATTTATCTGTATTGCTTGTTTGCGGCTATCTCACATTGCACAGCATAAATAACTACATTTACTTATAAATCTCACATTGCACAACATAAAAAACATCTTATAATAATTTTGATAACGTTCATTTTTAACAAATCTAATAATGTGGTGAATAGAGACAGTTATATCATAACACAAGGTAACATGAGAGATGTCGAATGATGGTAAAATAATGGAAACACACACTATACAAAATCGGTCTTCTTTATTTCAATTAACTTTTGGCAGACTAAACAAATTTTCAATTTTTTAAAAATTTATTCATACAGTACGTAGATATATTCTTTACGAACATTTTAAAGAAAAAATAATGTTGATACAACCCTCCGTTAAGGAGTTATGAATTTTTAAGTAACATGATCTCAGAAAATACATGTATGCCCGAAATTATATGTTATTTTTGTTGGTTACGCTTCGCTGGTCAGCATTGTTTGTCATCGATCGAACATGTCCACCGTAGCGTGAAAAAGGCTTATACAATACCTCTGTATCTCTCTCCATTATATCAATAAATCCTTGTTCTGTAGGCCCTCGGGTGTACGTGTAGCCTAGCCTGCTGTATAGAAAATCTTCGTCAATATCTTCTTTACTCACTGGGTTTTGTGAGTTACTGCATATTTAATTGCCTTTTTTGTTGATTCTGCATTACTTTCATTCAGTAATTCCTCAAAACCTTCGCTCAAAAGTACAAATGGCCCACTAACAAATGGACCTGCCATTTTATCGGCAGAGCGGGGCTACTGAATGACCAACTCTTTGTGAACGCGTGGTTGTGACTACGTTAGCCCAATTTTTCGCTTTTGATTGCATTGCATTGCATGCGAGATTTTTGTCATCTTGCACATGAAACGTACTATTCAACGATCGTTGACTAGTACTCAAATAACCATGGAATAGTCATTTTAAATCAATCTCGCGTGACCTGTTGTCAACCAATCATATTAGTAGAGTATCAGGTGTTGTATAATATACAAATAATGAAAGTTTATGAGTGTAATGTATAATATTTTATGTGGTGAAAAATTGGACGTTCTATTGTAAGATCGAGTAAATCCAGTATGGAGGAATATTGTTTATTTATTGTTTATAAGAAGTAACGTAACCAAATGTCTTGGATTATAATGTTAGTGCAAAAAGAGCATAATTAATATGGTAAAATATCTATATAGGCCAACTGTAAACTACCTAAAGTTTAATATAAAAGGAATAATATACAGTGATTATAAAACAGATAAGATTAGATTTGTCATGTGTAGTCTGTATCATTTATTCTACAAATTTTCTGGAGTGAAAAAAATAATTGAATTTTTTCGAAGATATGAATTTAGGTCCCCAGAAACCCAAATTCATCTCTGCTGCAACTTAACGACTTTTTTGGTGAGATTGTGATTACTGTATAGCAAAAAGAAGACTCACGGTAACCAGCGTAATCGTCATCGTCAGCCATTTTTGCAAATTCTGGTTCTTGTAAAATGTTAATGTCAGGTATATTGGATGGATTGAACGACCTTCATCAAAATTCTAACTGTGCATTTACTGTTTGATATTTGTTTTGAAATTTGTAAATAATTTCTATAGAATTTCAGAATACCAGCATTTTTATAACAGAGAATTTAGTCAATAAAATATCTGGTTGCAACCATTTACTTATAGGTAAAGATGTTCAATAAGCAACAGTCAACATTATTTCCTCAGTAAAATTGATGGATTATGGATTTTGTTATCACAAAATTGTAAAAAAAAAAAAAAAATAACAGTTAAAATTGATCTGTTGGAATCTGCTAAACACAGAATTAGATGTGCTTGTATCGTAATGGTATAGTCCATGTCAGAGACATGGGAAAAACCCTTATGTTATGAGGAGTTGACCTTTAGACACGTCATCATTTGGAAGTCGTATGTTTGCAGCTCTGGTACAGTAGTTAACGCATTGATTTCTGGCAGTTAAATTTCCTTGTCTCTCTGAAATGGTTATGTTCATTCTATACTTAAACAAGCCACCTATTCACATATTATTTTGTAGTCCCAATGATCTGCTGCCCTCAAACCAATGCAATAAATTCTGTGGCTGATGTATAGTGTTGATCATGTCACAATCACTGGATATTCACAATAGATTATCAAGGTTGATTGATATTACCAAAATGATTGTTTGAAAAATCAATAGAATGCAATTCAGACATTTCAATCCCTGAATATTCAAAAAGCGAGACACATGACTGTCAATCTATATACAGTAGTGCGGGACAATCAATCTGTATAGTGCGGGGCATGACATTCAAAAGCAAGACACATGACAATCAATCTATAGTTGCGGACATGACATTCAAAAGTAAGGCATGTACTGGTACTGTAGAGGGGGGAGTACAAGATGGGTACAACTTAAACAAAGTTACCATTATGGTAAAAAAATTTTAATGGACACCTCTCAACCAACAACAGTAATAACATTACAGTACTTGGTCTGATAAAAAAGTGTGATGTTACCTCAGACCTCACCAGTTTAATTATGGTGATAATGATGATAAATATATCCTTTCTTTTTTGAATAAACTAAGCTTTGATGATTGTCCTTATTTGCTTGGTCTAAATTACTTTTGTTTCTGTGTTTTTTACAACCCTTTACTATAGTGTAATTTATTTGTAATAATTTTTCTGAATCTCAATGATGATCCTATTTATTATCTCTTCTTACTATTTTAATTAATAACACATTTAAATAGATCCCAGCAATTTGATTGGTTGTTTTCATACCTTGTGACATTAGTTATCTTGCCCATGTCATCACTCAGCAATTTTGTTCCATCGTGCATTTTTTTTCCCCATCCAAATCGTCCATTGCACGTTACCTAGGATACGATGACTTTTTCCAGAAGGTTAAATCCAGAAATGATGTTCCACCCCTATAATCTTATCCCTTTTTCATTTTGACTGTCAAGCGGTGGTTTGTATACCTCTGCTTGTCTTAACTTCAGCGTTGTACAGAGGTTTTATTTACTGCATGTATTTTAATTGCGTGGATGAAATCTCAAAAACTAGCGCAAAATCTGTGCAGAATCCGAAATGCACTGACAAATTTCTAGACATAGGTTTTGTGTGGAGGATAGGCCTAGCCCCTAGGCCAGGCTAGCTCGGCCTAGGCCCCTATGCAAACCGATCTATTTAGGTGTATTATAAAACAAACAATGAATGTTTTGTATTTGTACAACGGAAAGAATATTTTCATTCAACTCATGAAAATATTCTTCCCATTGCACTCATAAACATTCATTATGTGTAAAATATTCTATGTTTAAATATATGGGTCATTCCGTGCCAACTCAACAAATTTTCAGAAAATCATGGCTATGTACCGTCTCAGATTTTTTTAAAACTCCGGTTTGTTGTCAGACATGTTGGTGCACATTATATCCGAGTTTCAAGAAAATCTGAGATGGTACCCAGCCATCCCATTTGTTGAGTTGGCACGGAATGACCCATATGTGCAATGTAATTTTTGTAATATATTATTCTAAATTTGAATGTTTTTATATATTTTTCTTTACTATTTTTATATATTTTTATTTACTATTTTTATATATTATTCTTTACTATTTTCATATACAGTTGAACTTGCCTAAAATTATTCGACTTAGATAAAATTTGACTTGCAGACCGTTAATGGAAAACACAACAATTTGGAATGTAAAATCAGAACGACTTAGAAATTATTAGGCAAGTTTAAAGTCTGTAATCACTTTTTAATGTATGTGCAATTTTTGACATTTATTCTTTTATATATATTAATTTTTTATCCAAATGATGTATTTTCCTTTGTAATAAAATTGAATTGAATTTTTCTTTGAAACATTTTAAAAATTGTTTTTCTATGAAAAGAAATCTTTTTATACTGTATCATTAAAAAATTATTACAAAATAATTTCAAACCTTCAACAGAAATGATGTTGCTACTGCAATTCTGAAGACCAAGTCTCGTCCAAACAGGTTATTAGTGGAAGAAGCAGCCAATGATGACAACTCCGTCGTCTGCCTTTCACAGGTAAGTCTTAAGTGCTGTCCATACCATAAAATTTTCTTAATAAAATACTTTTTCTAAAATAAAAAACTACTGGTATGCCCATATATAGTCATGATGTGCCAATATTATATGGTCATGATGTGATGTCATCATGACCATATTTAGGCATGTCACATGGTTTTGTCAAATGAAATTTGATGTAGTTTGGACAGGACCTTACATTTTACCACTGTTGAGTATTAAGCTCATGTCCACACTATCAAATTTTAAAATGTGTGTGATGTGCCCATATATGGGCATATGATGTCATAAAGTATTACACCCAAATATGGGCAGCATATCACACAGTGTTTGTTTAGCATAATTTTAATGATCAGGCCCCTTTCACTGTAATGCCACCCTGACACTTGCACGATTTTCGTTCCTGCACTGGCGCGCACTTCGGCATGCCAATGATTAGTGTCTTCGGGAACGAGTGTGAGGAATACGTGAAGAGTGCAGGGGTGCACGCCATGTCGTAGGGAGAATTTTAAAATGTTCAAAAATTTGGCATGTATCAATGTTCGTGCCATATGTGTGAACACTGCACAAACTCAATGCGAACACTGCCTACAGTGCGTGTCAATTAAGAATGCTCTTCCTCTTTCTGCCTTTTCTCCTGCTCTCTTCAAGAAGTAATAGTCTGCAGTTGCCAGATATAGATACGTAATCTATTCTGCAATAAGACTGTCCCTGTGATAGAGCATGTTGAATCGTCCATAGCGAGTCAAAGAAAAACCTATGCTATGTATAGTGTGTCGCCAAGCGGGACAAAGCCTGACCAAACATTGCCACGACAACGCATGCACGAAGTCGTCGGGACAATGCAGGAAGACGGCGGGAATTATGCATGTTGTATGTGACACTGCAGACAATGTGGTACGGTAGACGTGAGCAATGCGCGAACAATACTTAACCTATGTGTAAACAAGTAGTGCCATTGCGTGTCTATACGTTAAATTTTTGATGCGCATTGCGTATACAGTGCGTAACTTATACATGTACAGTGCGCGAACAGGCCGCAAACACAGGTTCACACTCTGCAGCATACCACCGAAATGACACATCTTGCCACGACGCATTACACGACATTGTGGGGACAAAAATCATGCAAGTGTACAGTAAGGGTGACTTAAGACCTTGGGCTTTTAATTATGCTATTAAAAGTCAACTCTGACTTTTCTCTTTTATACTCGATTTTCAAAATATGACAAGTTTTTAAAAATTGTGATTTAATGATTCATTTCATACATTAAAAAAAAAATCAACATTTCTAGATCTTAACAGCAATGAATTTATCTTGAATCCCCTTCCCATGATTTGTCAGCCATTGTTCCTAAATTTCTGTCCATCCAATCAAGTTTTCCATTGCAATAAATGGCCATCATTATGTCATGCTATCACACCCATAATTATATGAGCAAATCACACAAATTAGTCACATAGTAAATCACACAAATTTGTCACAGCAAATCACACAAATTTGTCACCTAGCAAATCACACAAATTTGTCACCTAGCAAATCACACAAATTGCCAACTATTAAATCACACACATTTGTCGCATAGCAAATCACACCAATTTGTCGCACAGCAAATCACACAAATTTGTCACATTGCAAATCACACAGTTTTGTTGCATAGCAAATCACGCAAATTTATTGCATAGCGATTCACACAATTTGTCACAAATTAAATCACACAAATTTCTCACAGAGCAAATCACACAAATTTCACACAAAGTAAATGACACAAATTTATCACATGGTAATTCACACAAATTTGTTAAATAAATTATAGACAGAGCTTTTGGACAGATGAATGTTTATAATAAGCACATGCGTAATGTTTTTTTAGCCCACTCTCTGAGAGATATATGATGATTCTGAGCGAATTTTGAAGTCATTTGTTTTTCTATCTCTTCCTTCGTTTGCGACGCGATTAGGCCGGTCTTGCAATAATATGGAAGATAAGGCCTGGGGAATTTAAAGTATGAAGAGTTTTTGCAAAAATATTGTTGGGAAATATGTGAATTTTTTTTTTTTTTTAAATAATATTTCTTAACACTACAGTGGGTTTCCTATGAAAGCGTGTTCGTCGATCAGATTGCAAATTGCCTGTATATTCCACATTGTGTTTATCAACAAATCACGTCCTGGAATGTAGCCTGGGTTCCAGGCCCTAATTTTAGGTTACTCACTCTTTATTTCACTTAGTGCGCGCCATACCTAATTTAATTGGCGTCCCATACTCGATTTCTTTTTTTTCGAATTAGGGCCTGGGCAAACGATTCATGTGTACGATTTCCCACATCAAATTTGATGTGGGATATCGTATGCATGACTGATTTTGTAAATCACGTGATTGGCTAACTTCATACATATTAATCAATCTTGGTAAATTTTCAAAATTGAAAATGCGGATGTCTCGACTAGAACAAGCTAACCAGCTCCCTTTTGGCTACTGTACCTATACTTGAATTAAAACAGTTAGTATAGTTCTGGCCTGCTGAGAACGACATGGACTGATAACCGTAGGCTACACTTTCTTGCACTCACCGCTAGCTGCTACACAGATTTAGGCCTTTAGAGTAGAATATTGTTAAACTTAAAAATATGCCAAGCCTCTACTAGTCTAGGCTAGGTCTACTACTCCTGACTCCAGACGAGGCCTGAGCCATCCTCCTGGAAAGTTAAAGTTTTGTTGTATTTGTGTGGTACAGTATGCCATCTAGTCTAGGCTTAATTGTTTTTGCCATTGCCAAAATTAGTCTTACTAGGGTCTATTCGAAATATTTTAGGCCCGTTTTATTCATGCCTAACTAGTCGACGCGAGCGACGAGTGATTCAGTTTCGTGGCTCCAAAAATATGAACATTTGATTGGTTGAAATTGTTTATTTCGGTCAGCCCATTTATCCAAATACGGAATATAAGATTACATCATTCTTTTGGCATCCTGGTGCCTGACTTCAGTGTTTTACAAGTCGCTTATTCTGTCTATCTCTAAATTAACTTTCTCGTTGGTAGCGCTGTCCAGAATGAGAAAAATAATAAAAAATAAGAGACTTGTGGCAAGTCTACCTGGAATGGTAACCTTGGCGGCTAATAAATGTGTCTGCATGCTTTTATGTGTATTAAACCACACATTCAAATCAGTCAGTAGCGATGAGTGTATGTACAGCACATTTCGTGTTGCCGCACTGTTGTGTGGTTGATGACGAGGACATTGCCTTTAGATACATGATAGCAAGTTCCCACATGGAATTTTTGTTCTATTGAGATGGTAGCTTTTCAGCATTGCTCTAGGATGATTTTCCTTTACATTTATGAATTTTTTAGCTTTTCGTACTCTACACTTACAGTAGCTATCCGTAGCCAACCACATAGGCCTAGGTACGTAATATATTAGATCAGATTACATAAAGTGTAGGCCGACAGTCGTATTTAATGGGGGCGGAGTGGATTTCTTTTTTCGCGATTTACCATGGGATGACAACTGTCATCGTTACCTAGAAATGTGGACGCCGTTGCCCATATGGTAATGATGAAGATCATTATTGACTGATGAGGCATGATTAAAAGTACCTTTCATTTTCAATGGATTACATTCCATTCCAACGATGGTATAACCAGGGCAACTCCCTGGTATAACCAGTCAATGGATAGCCCAGTAATGAGATATTTTGTTTAGATTTTCACAGCGTGTTCCATGTACCTCCTCCATTTATTTAAAATTAATTATTAAAACATTGTCTATAATCTAGTAATGTACTAGTATATTATTTAATCTAGTAATGTATATATTTAAAAACATATTGGGCAAGTATTCATACTACTTAATACTGTACAGGTGTCATACGCTGGTCGGCGGTGGACGGGCCCGTCCAGCACTCAACATTTCCGACCAGGATTTACAGGCTCCCGACCACCACTGTTATTTCAACAGTTTACAAATTGTAACAAAATAATTAGTTTACCTAAACACAATAGACAAGCTAAATTGATAGATATAGACAATACGAATACAATAAATGTTTCTGCTGTTTTGTTGCATTCCTCAAATTCTGGCCTAGGCCACCTGAGCCTAGCCAAAAAAAAAATTGCGTCAGCTAGCCTTGGGCCTAGGCCTGCTCGACTTACTTAGGCCTTTTGGTTTTTAAGAGCTTTCACGAATACGGTGTGAAAGTGGCACCCCCACCCCCGGGAAAACGCAGAATGATCGCCGACCGGCACTTCAAAAAGCTGGTGACATCCCTGTATATATACAGTATATATATGTATATATATATGTATATATATGTGTGTATATGTGTGTATATATGTATGTATGCATATGTATGTATATATATGCATATGTATATATATACTGTATATGTATATGTATTTATACATGTATGTATGTATATATGTGTGTATTTATATATATATGTGCATATATATGTACAGTATGTATGTATGTATGTATATATGTACATATATGTACATATATGTATAAATCATCAAAGAAAGGTAAATACAGTGTTCGAATAAAGGACATGATAATACATCGTGAAGCATAGCTCACAACGAATGTAGTCCTATAAATAAATGAATAAAGAAATTGTCTAATAAAATGCTTCTGGCGGGATTCGAACCTGCGACCTCTCGCTGTCAAGGCGAGAGTCATAACCATTAAACCACGGAGTTACGTACACAACAAACCTTACACAACCATATTTCATTTAATATCACTACACAACATCATACCTTTCCTAACTGTAAAGTGAACATAACAAAAAAGGTCTATGATGATGCATACAACTAACTCTAACTTAAAATGTTTTTTTTTTTATGCTCAATACACATAACAACACTTCACACAACCTCCACCCACCAACAGCACTTAAACATTGCCAGCTATTGTCAAGTGGGCTATTGCATCATTGATGCTCTCGTTTATTTGTTCATTTCCTAGGCCAAGATGGATGAGCTGCAGTTATTTCGAGGTGATACAGTCCTGCTGAAGGGCAAAAAGAGGAGAGATACAGTATGCATCGTTCTCTCGGATGATACTGTCTCTGATGAAAAGATCAGGATCAATCGTGTCATCAGGAACAATCTCAGAGTTCGTCTCGGTGACATAGTCAGGTAAGATATATGTTCAATTGAATACAAACACACGTGAGAATAATAAACTGCAGCACTTATTTGAGAGTAGGGCAGATGTGTTGCGTAAATCAGTTATTCAAACGTGATACTTACAGTATTGGAAGGAGGTGCTTATTGGATTAAACCCGGATTTGCCATAAATTATCCCTTCACATACACTGACCAAAATTTTGTTTTGTTTTTGCAGTGTACAAGGTTGTCCCGATGTAAAGTATGGTAAAAGAATTCATGTTCTCCCTATTGATGACACAGTTGAGGGAATCACAGGGTAAGCTATTTATTGATTCAGTTATTCTGTTAAGTCCTGTTCAGACAATCAAATGTTATTTGACAAAAACATAAATGTAAATATAGTCATGGTGATGTCACACTATGACTATATATAGGAATGTTGTGGCTATATATGGCCATACAACAGTTTTTTTGTCAAACTTGATAGTCTACACATGGCTATAATGCCCATGCAATGTTTTCTGTAGCATTTTTTTTTTTTAATTTGTTATTAAATTTGTTTTTTATGTTGAACTGTACACTATCGAAGAACCTTCAATATGATTCAATGTGGGGGGTTCTTTTGCATTGTCCTGCTCAATATACTACCAGCAAGATTGTCCCCCTCCCCTCTCACTAGAATGAAGTCTTCTGAGCTGACTGTGTGGTATTTTTTATGTGTTTTACATTAAAGAAATCCAAATCCAAAAAAAATGTTCACACTGAAAAGTTCTATGAAACCATTTACTTACTCGTGCAACCATAAATAATACTAGTAATGACAAGCTAATATATCAATATATAATAAAATATTAATAAAAGTTTTATAGTTTTATTCATGATTTATATTTTTTCTAAATTGCTTTTCAGGAACTTGTTTGAGGTGTACTTAAAGCCGTACTTCTTAGAAGCCTACCGACCAGTGCGAAAGGGCGACATATTTATGATTCGTGGAGGTATGAGAGCTGTTGAGTTTAAGGTGGTTGAGACAGACCCAAGTCCATACTGCATCGTAGCCCCGGATACTGTTATTCATTCGGATGGAGAATTCATTAAGAGAGAGGTAAAGTATTAGAATTATTTCATATTGCATCTAGTGAAAACCAGTTCCATTGTTTGCTATAATGTTTTTAAGATTGTTTACTATTCATAATAGGAATTGAGTCACAAGCGATATTATTCATGAGTAATATCATCATTGTCATTCTCACCAGCACCATTATATTTTGATCATAGTGGGTGGTACCTATGTTACATTCTCAATATCATCACCATCATCATCATCATAATCATTATAAATCATTTTCATCATAGTCATCCTCACTGCCACCATGTGTCCTACTTCCAATTACACATCTTGCAAACATTTTAAATTTCTTTATTTAATCTTGTGACAGGAGGAAGAAGAGTCGTTGAATATGATTGGATACGATGATATTGGTGGAGTCCGCAAGCAGCTAGCTCAAATCAAAGAGATGGTAGAGCTGCCATTGCGCCATCCTCAACTATTCAAAGCCATTGGAGTGAAGGTACAACAAATATTGATGTAGTTTACACATAAAAGACTTTATTTGCAAATGGGTATAAGTGCCAAGTGTTAGCTAGGCCCTCTGTTGATTATGTTTTGAATACCGTAGATAATCACTGATTTCTGATATCTCTCTATAGCCCCCAAGAGGAATTCTTTTGTATGGACCGCCTGGTGTTGGCAAGACCTTGATTGCTAGAGCTGTGGCTAATGAAACAGGAGCATTCTTTTTCTTGATTAATGGTGAGCTATAAATTTATCTGCTGGTACATTGTTGTTTGTTTTATTGTCAAAGTGTGATGTATTTAAATTATATGTTTTTGTTTTTTTTTAAATTTAATGTTGAAATGTATTGTTCATTTTTATGTCAGCCCAACCCTCAGCAATAGATTAATGTGCAGTAAAACAACATGGCAGAGACTTGTCTATTTCTTAAAATGTGAGATATATATTTAATGTTTTTGATAGGTATTACATAACACAGATAAAGTTTATCTGTTGTGTTTTGCAGCATATACAATCTGGTTGTTTTTGTGACAATATTACCTTATTTTATAGACATACATGATTGATTGATTGATTGATTGATTGGATGAGTGGTTGGTACGTTAATTGAATTAGTGGTGATCTGATTTAATGACTGACTGTCTGAATGATTACTGACTGACTGAATGATTACATGATTGATTAAATGATTTTGTGGTTGATTGATTAAATGTTAGATGGTAACATTTATTTGATTGTTTGGTTGAATATTTGAATGATTCTTTGAATGTTTGGTTGATTGAATGATTCGTTGGATAATTTAATGCTTGAATAAATGTTAGAACAATTTATTAAGTGTAAATTGGTTGATTAGTTGATTGAATGAACAAAAAAATAAATAATATAAAGGATTGATTAAGTGGTTGAATGATTGTTTGATTGAACAATTGATTGATTGAACAATTAATTGATTATGTACATCTGATGTGTAGGCCCTGAGATTATGAGTAAACTTGCTGGAGATTCAGAGTCTAACCTAAGGAAAGCCTTTGAGGAAGCAGAAAAGAACGCACCGGCAATTATCTTCATAGACGAGTTGGACTCCATTGCTCCAAAAAGGGAAAAGGTAGAACTTGATAAAGGAACAAAGAAATAATGAATTTGATTATTGATTTAGATTTTGATGATAATATACTATCTAAGTATTTGGGTAAGTATTGTTTATAATATACGAAAATTGTGCATTACTTACTTTATAGATATTATTAGTTCCTTTGTGACCTTAAAATCACAAGGAACTAATGGGGAAATTTGAACGTGAAATGTGTGTGTGTGTGAGAGAGCAGCGAGTTTGTAAACGAATAGGCTCCTTGTGCAAGAATTGTTTGTTTTTTATGTTAGATGAGAAATGTAGGACGTACGCGATAAAACATATACCCCCTACCACCATTTTTGAGTCATTTTTAGGAGAAAATTTGGATATGCGCATGCGTTGGAAAAACTTTGCCGACAGTTAGTTTTTCATCGCAGGAGGGTAAGCAAGCTCAATGATGCATACCTTGTTGGTGTAGTTGGTGTAGTTGACCAATTGTTTACGCGATCGTCAGTAGGGTTAGGCCTTTGTCGTGATAATGTTGCAGGTGCACGTGTTATTAAAAAGGAAAAAAGTGATCTAACCAAACACGGTCTTTACATAATGGTATTGGATCGAATGTGTTTAAAGGCCAACTCAGACAGCGTCGGGGACAGTCTTAAGCCGTCGTGACTGCCCCGACGCGACAACAAATCGCGTCGGGCTGCGTCGTACGACGCTGTCTGAGTTGGCCTTAATATTTTGCCGAAATTTTGTTTTCTATCGCGAGAGTGTACAGTTTACATTAGAGAAGTTGTCTGTGCTGTTTATGCGAACCTCTGGGTCTAGGCCCTAGCGTAAGCTTAGGTAATTGTGGTAAATCGACTACTGCTTGTCGTCTAGGCCTAGTAGGTGTAACGTGTGTTTTAGTAAAAATGAACATGATCTGAACAACATTTTACATTGTGGTATTGAATCGAATGTGCTTACCTACCTAAAGTCTTTTACGCACGATGAACACGGCAATTGACGTTGCTGTGCGTGTGCAATACGTACAAAACACGATGACAGCAGCATTCAGTCAGTCTTATTAAAATAAATATTATATTGGTCTACCACCAGACTACTATACAGATCAATAAACAATAATCCACAACAAAATAAGAATCAAGATTATTTGTAATGATTGAATATGTAGCATAAATGCATTCCGTGGAAAACATGGTGTACAGTTAACTGTACTTCAAACACAGAAACATCGTCGAAATGAAATTTTTCTAGGCCTATATATAAAAAAACGAAAAGAAAGTTGTGCAGAAAAAAACAAATTGTGCACAGTTAACTGCTCTTTAAACACAGAAAAACGTACGTCGTGTCAATATTATGAAGTTTTTTGTTTATGACTGCTGTGTAATTTTACTGGTTTACAACATAGTCATGTCATGTATACTTGAATATGTAAAATAAATGAGTATTCCGTATTCTTACTCTGCAAACTCGAAAATAAATCATTGACTGAGGCACGTTTTATCTACCACCATACAGTGCATGCGTGACATGCAGTATGAAGCAGTGGTTGTAGTTATTGTGATAATTATTCCACTTATTACGCATGCGTGTCACTAAGCAGATTTTGAAGAATGAAAGAAAATTTTTTATTGTCAAACAATGAAGACTATTTTAGTAGATGATAAATGGATTTGACGTCCCTATTTCCGATGTCAAAAACACACAAAAATAGGGACGTCCCTATTTTTAGAATTAAAAAAAAAAATTGATTGCAAGAAGTATCCACTACTTGCCAGTGTGATGAAGGGAATATTAGTCCGTGGTTCCCCGGTTATAATCCCATCCCCATGAACATGTCCCGATTTGGTGGGGGGGGGGTTTGTGGAATTATACCCCGGGATTCCCTAGGCCTAGTGTATGAACAGACGGAAATGACGATCGTTTTGCAAGGTGGTTTTCACCTATGATTCAATAGCTTATCAAAACAATATTCAGGCGAAGAGTGAGAACATGGTTTGAAATTCTTCTTGTTTGTTCACAGTTAAAATGTAAGTTAAAACAAGACACAAAAGATAAAATCACAGAGGAAACAGCAAAAATTTAAAAACAAACGATTTAACGATTTAACGTTGTGATTTAACGATCCGATCAGCCCACTGGGCAGGTCTTTTCAGGGACGGACTGCGGTGTTGTCTAGCTTTACTTTAGCCGCAGTTAGCGAGCTGCTTATTTTTAGCGACAGTGAACAACAAAGTAATTTACAAGAATGGGCTTTGTGTTTTAATTTATGGCGAACAATGTCAGTTTTAAGCAATTTTAAGAGTTTCAAGTCGGCAGAATTCGGAGACATTTTCTTTATTTTTTGAGCATTTGTTAAATTTATCAACCTAGGCCGACTTACCCATCATCAGACCCTGGGACTTCACCCGGGGAAATTTGTGTACGCGACGTTGGGCGTAAAGTCGGTGTGGGAACCCGGGGAACTATAGTAATATTTTATAGCAGTAGTGACTGAGAGAGTTTTCTCTATTGTTGAAAAAACAAAACCAAGCTTTGAGCCAGCATGACAATAATAATAATAATAATAATAATAATAATAATAATAATAATAATAATAATAATGACGCACAAGCTGGAAATGTTGAACAGAGATTATAAGTGTCATTCGAATAAATATTGACGTTATGAATCCAATGAGATCCAGCGAAACAAGTAACATAACCGTGCCCTTCATGGTGAAGTCTGTAAGCCTACTGATTAAAATGTAACTTAAATATTTTTTCTTGGTTGTGAGGTAAATAAATAGTACACTTGGAATTAAGTAACTCTTGTTTTGTTTTAAGCAACTGTACAGGAATTAGGATATATTATTGCCATCTTAATTTGTTGTCACCAATGAATAGTGCCCTATTTTTGATATTTGAATGTTGGCAGGTATGTAAATATACAGCATTTGATGGACGGACCTGTATGGGGGTGTAGGTGTACAAATTCAACTCCGTCACTATGAATGCTAGACAACGCGTTGAGTGGATGAGTTTTAGTGGACTCGATATGTTTTCACAAATTTCAAACTTGGCCGTGTCTAACTCATTCACTTGTCACAGTTCATTTAACTGATACTTATTATTGTGTCATATCTCCTCATATTTTACTTGTGAAATGTAATTCAAACAGTTTTTTTTTTTAAATAAATTCTGTACTCAAGTACATTTTAAGTATTAAAAAAAGAACTTGTAATGTTAATTATTAACAGACACATGGTGAGGTTGAAAGACGAATTGTATCACAGTTGCTGACTTTGATGGATGGATTAAAACAAAGAGCTCATGTCATCGTCATGGCTGCAACAAATAGACCAAACAGTATTGATCCTGCCCTTCGTCGTTTTGGTAAGCATAATTTCAACTTGCTTGATTTGATGCAACATTAAACAGATATATTATTAATTCTCATTTAAACTTTTTTGCCAAAGACTGGAGATAGGGTAGTTATTGGCTAATTTTATAAAACTTTACTTCATTGTTCCTTTTCCACTCTTACTTATTAGCCTCCACAAAGGAGTGAAGCTTGGGGAGGCTTGTTTTTACTTGTTTTTATTGATGATTATGTTGTCGTCATTGGTCATTTGTTTATTACCACGGTAACTAAAGTTTGGTAAAGTCTGATGGGTTTAAGTTTGGCAGAATGCAAGATGGTAAGAAGATGGAAACTATTGTTTTTAGTGTGTGTGAGTATGTGAATTAGAAGTTAGGCTGGTTACCACAACTAAAACTTGGCGATTAATTTCAAATTTGCAAGACTACAAGATGGTAATAAGAAGATGGAGCCTATAGTTTTTGGTATGTGTGTGAATATGCTAATTGCTCATTTGTATAATTTCACTAATAATTTAGTTAAAATTGTAATATTTTTTTGTGTCATCGCTGTTATACAGTAGTAAATTATTTGTTATTACGATAAAAAACAATTTCATAAGTTTGGTAAGCCTAATTGGATTCAATGACTGCTTGACATGGTTTTTTTTTTTGTTTTTTTTTTATTTTGGCTATATTTAACTCATTCATGCTTTCTGTGTTGGCAATTAACTATAATAACTGTACAAGTATATACCAGATTATTGTGACATTTTAGTGAACTTTCTAGTACAGGTCTTATCTAGCAGCTTTCTGTGATGTCAATTCAATTGATAACTCACTGTAACTAGGACAGGTCTTGCCTAGCATGGCATCATATTTCATAAACTTACTTTTCATTTTTATCTTTAGCTCATGACCCATCTGATCATTCCTCCACTGGAATTACTCTACTGGATTTACTCTTATAAGGTCAACTGCCAGACGACAACAAAGTGTCTCAAAAATCACACCGTGGGGAGGCTATGCTTTTACTGCGCCATGTAAAAGAAGCATTTCTAATTTGACTATTTTATATTTTTATTTAATTTATTTGCTCCCTTAATTTAATGTTTTTCTTGACTGAATGAATGTCAAATTTAATTACCTTACAGGTCGATTTGATCGTGAAGTGGACATTGGAATCCCAGATGCTACTGGTCGACTTGAGATTCTCCGTATTCATACCAAGAACATGAAACTGCATGATGACGTTGATTTGGAACAGGTGAGGGCGCTGTGTTGTCTAGTATTGTTGATGTCAACAACAATTTACCATGATATTGATAAGAATAATTCATACAATAATGACATAAAATTATGATAGAAAATAGCTCCATCCAAGTTGTAATATTCAAGTTTAAATGATATAAAAAGTATAATAAGGTTCACTACAATATAACATTTACACTAATTATATAGTATTTATACCATATATTACACATCAGTTATTGTGTTGTAAGTACTAATATATAATAAATGAATTATTATTAAATTGATAGATTTTAAAATGTATAATGGGCCTTTCCATAGCATCAACCAAACTTAAAAATGGCCAATCACAACATCTTATTTAATAGCCAAAGGTAGTGTAGTGATGTTGTTATGATAGAAAATAGCTCCATCCAAGTTGTAATATTCAAGTTTAAATGACATAAAATGTATAACAATATTTACTACAATGTAACATTTACACTAATTATTATAGTATTTATATCATATATTACACATCAATTATTTTGTTATAAGTACTAATATATAATAAATGAATTATTATTAAATTGATAGATTTTAAAATGTATAATGGGCCTTTCCATAGCATCAACCAAACTTAAAAATGGCCAATCACAACATCTTATTTAATAGCCAAAGGTAGTGTAGTGATGTTGGACTAATTTTTTAATGAAGTGAAACACCATCACTTAAATGATAATGATAGTAATGATTGACTTTGCTTCATGTTAGGTGGGAAATGAAACCCATGGACATGTCGGAGCTGATCTTGCAGCTTTGTGCTCAGAGGCTGCCTTGCAGCAGATCCGTAACAAGATGGATCTCATCGACCTCGAAGATGAACAAATCGATGCTCAAGTCATGGACTCTCTGGCTGTGACTATGGATGATTTCAGGGTAAGAGAAATATTGCCACCTAGACTTTCACGTGAAGAATGTTTATTTCTAGTTAAAACTGATTTGCAATGGTAAGTTTCCTATATGCAAAAACCATGATAATGATACATTTTAACAATATTTTTAGAGGGTGCTCTATCAATACAAACCTTGTCTCGCACATCTAAAAATTCACCTTCATCGCTGTCTGAATCAAAAATCAGGTCAATCGCTTGCTCAGCTCTGTACATATCTTGTGCGGCCATTTCGAAAAATTTTTGAAATTAATAACGAATTCAAATTGATATTTCTAAAAATATTTATATAAGCGCATGTGAATTCTTCACAGATTTCGAAAGACAAAAGCTTCACGCATGCGTGTTCAAAATTTCTGACGTATTGGAGCTAAAATAAAAACAGAAGAGCGATTTGAAAACCACCTATTTTTTAGTCACGAAATTTCGATTGCAGTCGAAAATGGGAATTCTCGGTTTGAGGTCAATTTCGACTACAGTCGAAGACGGTATCTAGAGGGTTAAACTTAATTCATTCGCTACACTGTCGCTACAGTGTTTTCAGTGCAATTGTTGTACTGCGTAGAAGTCTCAGACTCAATCGGGATGACTCCCTGATTTGACCGACTAATCAGCATCACCGAAAACTGTTGGCGATAGCATGTAGCGATTATATGGAAACCAAGCTTTATGTAATGTAGTAATTTAAAATTATTTAATACACAATTTTATTTTAATAAGATGATCTCCTTTTTGTTTTTTGCTCATAAAATTCCTACAAAAAATGTAAGGATTTTAAACTATATTTTTAATCATCTCCTTTTTGTTTATTGCTCATAAAATTCCTACCAAAAATGTAAGGAGTTTAAATTATATTTTTAATTTAAGTCCCAAGACTATTTTATAGAGATCTCAATGCTTAAAATTCTGTTATTTGTTTTGCCAACAGTTCGCCCTTAGCAAGAGCAGCCCAAGTGCCCTACGTGAAACAGTTGTGGAGGTTCCAACTGTCACCTGGCAAGATATCGGTGGTCTGGATAACGTGAAACGAGAGTTGCAAGAGCTGGTACAATACCCTGTTGAACATCCAGACAAGTTCCTCAAATTCGGAATGACGCCAAGCAAAGGTGTGCTCTTCTACGGTCCACCCGGTTGCGGTAAAACGCTTCTCGCCAAGGCCATTGCCAACGAGTGTCAAGCTAACTTCATTTCAATCAAGGGGCCTGAGCTTTTGACCATGTGGTTCGGAGAGTCAGAAGCTAATGTTAGAGATGTTTTCGATAAGGTACATTGCTGCTATTTTTGAAAATTTTTAAAGATATAAACATACAAAGACAAATAATTGTATAGCTGGATGGGAGGGACTGGGGCCGATTTATCCAACTAGAAATAGCTTAAATTCGTTTTAAGTCAATTTTTTTGTTTAAGTCAGATATATTGCTATTGCTTAGCTTAAAACTTGCTTTAAAAAAGTCTATTGTATGCATGCACCACACTTTCTCCCACAGTTTTTGGCCTATAAGATTTCATGGACAATGAGGTATGCACAACAGATTGATTTTAATGAAGAAACCCCTAAGACTGCCACCGAAAATCAGTTGGCGTCACATTGTCAAGCATTCAGAGAGAGGGGAGATGGCTTAAATGAACTAAAACACATAGCCAAAGATCCACTCCTATCCAGAAACAACTACAAATTATATCAATAGTGTCGTTAGCTTTAAGATGATTTAAGAATATTAAACATCATGGTTTGCCTCCCACTTTGGTCTACATAGGCAAGACAAGCAGCTCCTTGTGTTCTATTCTTCGATGAGTTAGACTCAATTGCTAAGTCTCGTGGTGGCAACCTTGGTGATGCTGGCGGTGCATCAGATCGTGTCATCAACCAGGTCCTGACAGAAATGGACGGAATGGGAAGCAAGAAGAACGTATTCATTATTGGTGCTACTAACAGACCCGACATCATCGATTCAGCCATCCTTAGGCCCGGTCGTCTAGATCAACTGATCTATATTCCTTTACCCGATGATGCATCTCGTCTCTCCATCCTCACGGCTAACCTTCGCAAATCCCCTGTTGCAAAGGTAAATATTTCTGATCTTTTTTTCTGAGGTTTTTTTCTCCAATGTAGTTCAAAAGCATGAAATAATAAAATTTACTAACTGATCTTTGAGACCTTTATTCCTCAAAGTGTTGCATAATTTAATACATAATTATGATAGATTTGTAAGAATTTCTGTTTGATATGTATTTATGCAGAGTGAAATAATACAATGATTATTATAATAATAAATATAAAAATATCCAAGAAAAAATGCTCAAACTAAAGTAGACTTGCCACAAGTCTCTTATTTTTTATTATTTTTCTCATTCTGGACAGCGCCACCAACGAGAAAGTTAATTTATAGACGGAATAAGCGACTTGTAAAACACTGAAATCAGGCACCAGGATGCCAAAAGAATGACGTAATCTTATATTCCGTATTTGGATAAATGGGTGGACCGAAATAAACAATTTCAACCAATAAAATGTTCATATTTTTGGAGCCACGAAACTGAGTCACTCGCGTCGACTAGTTAGGCCATAGGTCCATGGTTAGGCATGACTAAATTTAAATAGTCTTCCCTAGTAAAACGGGCCTAAAATATTTAGAATAGACCCTAGTAAGACTAATGTTGGCAATGGCAAAAACAATTAAGCTTAGACTAGATGGCATACCACCATACAAATACAACAAAACTTTAACTTTCCAGTAGGATGGCTCAGGCCTCGCCTGGAGTCGGATGGTAGGCCTAGCCTAGACTAGTAGAGGCTTGGCCTATTTTTAAGTTCTTACTTACAGAGGCCTACCTTTTTAACAATATTCTACCCTAAAGGCCTAAATCTGTGTAGCAGCTAGTGGTGAGCAAGGT